AAATGTATGTATGTGTGTGTGTATGTGTGTGTGGGTGGGTGGGTGGGTGGGGGGTTACTTAAAGGACAAGCTGCAGATAGGATTACTTTAAGGGTGCAAGGGGCATCTCCACTTACAGTACAAAGAAATAAGAGGACTTGAAGGAACAGTGGGAGGGCCTCCTCAACATACACACTAATTTACACATAGAAAGGTCATGCCTCTAAAATTAGTCATCATTAGTGAGTAGTCCTAGAGAGAAACAAGAACTGGAAGATGGAACAAACTTGGCTGAAAAATATTCCTTTTGCAATTAAAGAAAGGTAAGAAAAAGCTCTGCATGTTTAGGTTTTTATAAATGATAGAAAAACTAAAGGTGGGTTGCTTCACCTTTCACATGCTCACACTTCAGAGGTGTGGGGTCACTGGCCCACCTTTCCAAAGGTCACCATGGACATGCTCCTCATCAAGTTAAAGGTCAGAGGACTGTCTGCATGACTCTGTATTTCATACCTCCCATTTGCATTATCTGGCTCTTTGATGGCTAAGAGAAATCACATGAAGTGACTGGTTTAATTTCCAAATGGTTAAATTTGTCATAAGTAGTGTAATATGTTTGGTTTCAGCTATAATGATGTGGTTGGCATTTCTACTTTTCAATAAATGATGTCAGTTCTGGTCTTTTATTTCTGAAAGTTCAGCAGGACATCATGATTGTAGATGCCATTTAGTCAACTGTATTTCATTAAATTAAACAAGTACAGCATTTGAGACAGAGCTGGTCTGTCAAACGTTGACATTACAAGAAACTTCAAGAGTCTGAGTATGACCTGAATAATTTATGCTCTAAGTACTGATTTGCAACACATCACACCTTCCAGATGCCATGCCTGCATCCTAAAATCCCCCAACACCACTCTGCAAATCTTTCACTCACCCTGGGCATCGCCACCAGAAGTCAGCACGGCAATGGCCCGGCCCTCACCCATCTTGGTGGGGTCGACGGGAGTCTGTTGAGCCATGGTCCTGGAGCTGAGGCTGTCTGACAGAAAGAGGCCGTGAGTGCAGCTGTAGCGTGTGGAGCACAAGGTGCCTCTACGGTAACTCAAACTGCCTGTTCTGGAACGTCAGAGCTGTTGCAAAAGTGCCCAGCTTAACTGCGCTATTGGCAGACATGGAGGCACACATAGTTGTGACGCATTTAGACACACACACATACACATGCACACATGCACGCACACACACACACAAACAAGCGTATGGAGTGCCTATTGAAAGTGTTCAACACCTCTTGGCATCCAAATTAAATTTGCAAACAGAGTTATTATTAGATTGGGTTTTAATTAAACTAAACATAAATATCTTCACTTGAGAACGAATTCATAACTGTGTGTGTAAATTCAGAAAAATATTAATAAGATTAGTCCAAGATTTAAACAAAGCCCTAAAATTCTTTTTTTTTTCTAGATTAAACTTCCCTTGATTCCTAAAACAACTTTTAAATTTTCTGTGCTCAGATACATTTTTATAAAGCTGCTGTACAATAGCTGTGTCATTCTTTATTAATAAACTTGAATTTAAATGTAATTTGATAGCGCTTTGTCCCAGAACTACCACTAACCACCGAATGGATTTTGTTACAGCTCTTGATTACAAATGTGTGATTATCTTTTAAAAATACCAAATACAGATGGTACAATGGGATTCACAGATGTAGTGGGTCTGCAGCTTTGGAGAAAAAAGGCCCTTTTCTTAATTTAAAAGTAACAATATTATCTATTTAAACAGATTAGTTTCTTATGTTTATCATTATTTTATTTTCAAATTAATTTAGCTATGATCTATATATAATAATTTTAGGAATGCAGCTATTGGGATAGCATTTAGTCAGAGATCTTTCCTAAGAGGACATGTTGTACTGTACTGTCATACTGGAATGTACTGCATCATATTGTATATCATACCATTTATATCATATTGTGAAAGTTTATTTAAATCTTTTTAGTTACAGTTGGAACCGATCAGTATCTGTAACCGCAAAACTGCACGTTATGTGAGCTTTTTTCTACCAATACTGTGTTTTCTTTGTAGACCAGTGATCATAATTATCACCACCAAAAGGCAAAGGGCAGACTAAAATGTTTTGGCTGGTGTGCGTCTCTGTGTGCATGTGTCCGTGTTTATGTCCGTCACAAAAGTATCTCGAGAACCACTGGATGAGCTTTAATGAAACTTTCAGAAAATAACCCCTGGATAGACTTCTACAACAGATTAACTTTTGAAATTGACTCCATTTAAGATGATAACAGATGTTTAAAAACACAAAAATTATAATAACGCAGAAAGTTTAACAGACAATGAGCTCATATTTGATGTGATAGTAGTTGAGCGTCATTACCAACATATCCTCTGATGTCTTGACGCTTAACAATATCTCATGAGACTACAATATGTTATTTTAAATTTTTGACTAAAATATCTCCAACTCCGACTTACCAACATCCTCTGCTGAGTTAACACTTGAGCATGTCTCACGTTCATTTGCAGAGAGGTCATCACCACCTGAGGAGGAAAACATGATGCATATTTATCCTAACTACGTACTTAGCTCAGTTCAACCTGCAAAATGTCATCTTACATGAAAAACCCTCTCTACAAAAGATGAGCTGCTCAAGCATGATTTTTTTTTTTAATCCATTTTGTTATTCAGAAAATGAGCCATGCTCTATCTGGTCATTGCAGATGAGAACACTCCCACTTGCCTTATCTGGTGTCTTACAAGCTACAGTTAATTGGTTGGTTATTTTAGAACAACTCAAATACAGAAAAGCACATACAATATTTTAGTTTTGCTTTGTTTTATTGGAAAATACCCATAAATACAGGAATATAGATTTAGAATACAGCAAGATTCTGATAATTCAATGCCAAACAGGCTAAAATGTCTCCCACAAAAGCCATTTTTTATAACAGCATGTGCTTATTTTACGACTTTATATAAAAAGCTTAATCTTTAAGTGTCTTGAGACATAACTGTCAGGTTAGAGAGGTTTTCTACTTCACTAAACCCCCTTTTCACCTGACAAATGATCTGATGTTAGTCCACAGTTTGTGTAATCAGCACAGCACTGTAGTTCACTGTAGATATACACATTAACTTTATGTCTCAATTAAATTAAACAGTTTGTCCAGTCTTTGTGAAGACAGCTAAAGTCATACCAAGATGTCGAAACCACAATCGTTTTTTTTACATCAGTGCACATGTTACAAACTATGAAGCAGTTCAAAGTCAACAATCAACACTAAAATAAAAATTAAATTGAAACAACAATATGGACAGTGTGTATTATTGGGGGAGTGGTGGCGCAGAGGTTAGAGAAGGTGGGCCTGTGATCGGAAGATCGTCGGTTCAAGCCCCGGTACAGACAACATCAAAAATGTGGGTGGGGTAGGTGAAGCACCCACACCTGCACCCACCCTCATTCGCCCCACTCTGGGCCCAAGAGCAAGGCCCTTAACCCCCATCTGCTCCCTAAACAGGTCTCTTGAAAATGAGTTCTCGTGGCTCAATGAGACTACCTGGATAAATAAAGGCTAAATAAAAAATAAAAAAAATAAAAAAAATAGCCTTTGATGAACGTATATGTGAATGAAAATGACAAAAGTACAAACTTAATGGGATGACAGAAGAAGTCTGACACTCTTCTGGTACAAACAGCTGACTGTAAATAGATACATGAGCAGTTGTCTACTACTGGTCATTATAACTCAGGCTTGATTATTATCTGTAAGTGACACAATCTAAAAAACCCTGCATACTGTCATAAGTGTGTGTAACAAAGCAAACAACAAACATGACTTTAAATTTAAAGCATATTCAATGTAGACCCGTCCCATAATAATATTTAAACAAAGAACAGACCGAAACGGAACAAGAACGAGCTGACTTCTAACACCAAGACACAAATATTCACACCATCTTCATACCTTGACCATTATTTCTACACCAGAGCAGCAGAGTCACAAGCAAGCCGACAATGAGGAGCCCCAAAACTGAAAAGACACCAGGGTACCACATCCTCACAGTATCACCTCACTGTGTCTCAGAAAAACCACTGTGGGTCTGAGCTGTATTAATAGCTTTGACATCACCTCTTTACAGACTAATGACCTTTATTGTTAAAGCAAGTCAAGTACGCAAGGACAACCATGCAGCCTCTGAAAACAAACAAAATATTTTAGACAGAGTATCTTTAAAAAGGATCAATATGAATCTTAGAAAATGTGCTTATGTCACGATTTTGATTGTTTTTGTGTGTTTTTTTATTCAAATTTTATTATTTTTTTAATAAATTCAGCCATGATTTTTCTTGTGGTTTCATTTCCT